CGAGGAGCTGCAGCACCCGGTGCGTGGTGCCCAGGAGCTGGGTCCTGCCCACCCTGCACCGCGCCCCACCTCAGCTCCATTCAGCTCTGTTTGTCTCAACCCGGCTCAGCGTTTGGCTGCCCTGTGGCAAGCAGGGACTTTCAAGCATGGACACCTGAGAAGGGTTTCTTCCCCTGACCGGAAGGGGCCAAGGGCTCCTCCCTGGGAGCTGCCTAAGCTGTTGTGCCTCTTTTGGTGGAACCTCTCTCCTCCAGGATCCACCCAAGACTCCTCTCCCAGAGTCTTTTGAGCTCTGCTTTAGGGACAGAGAGCCTGAGTGTCAGCCCCAGCCTCCTCCGAGCAAGCTGCCTGAGATGATTTTTCTGTTTTGGAGGAAGTTGTTACTGCAGTTTTCCCACTGGACAGCAATTATTAGGCCTCCACTGTGCACTGGCCCTTTCTTAACAATTTATGTTGTAACCTGAAAAGAACCAAATGCGAACCTATGCCTACTGAATCACAGAGTCACAGGATGGTTTGCATGGGAAAAGACCTGTTGTCATTTAGGTAGCTGTTCTATTACCTGATGACTCCTCCCCACCTGGGGACAGGAATCGAGAAAAGTAGAGAAGACCCATGGGTTGAAATAGAAACAGATTTAATAAAATAACAGTTAAAACCCCCAGTATTAGTAACAGTATTAGTATAAAGCACACAGTTATACTCAGCTGCTGTAGTGGGGGGGGTAGGCCTGGAAAGCAGAATGGCAGAGGAGACCTTTTTGGGAGAGCAGCCATCAAAGAAAAAGATGTCTCCAGCAAACTCCCCAGGTTACAGAGAGCATGATGTCTATGGTATAGCACACTTTCTATCGGCCGACTTCATCATCTGCCCCAGGCTTCACTCTTCCACTTCTTGTGAAAAAAAAGGTTGACAGAAGAGACGCAACACTGCAACTGAAAACAGTCCTTGAACATTATGGCAACCAGTGTTGGCTGAAAACTAAATCAAAGCATCTTATCAGCTTGTTCCTACTGAAAATGGGTGCTGAAGACTTTTTTAGAAATGCATTTTCCTGAATACAAAATTTCTAGGATTCTGTCCCAGAGCCAGGACAGGACCTTTGCAGATGACCCAGTCCATTTCACTATCCAGTCATCCAGTCCACACTTGTTCAGTTTGGCTGTGAAGATGTCGTGGG